GAATTTAGGCAGAACTAATCTATAAAGATGAAGAACAGAGCAGTGGTGTCTTAGGCAAGGCTGGGGTGGAGAGGAGGGCTGATTGCCAAGGGGCACAAGGGACAGAGATGGGTGATGGAAATGTGCTGCATCTTGACTGTTGTGGTGGTTACATGAGTGTATACATCCATGTACATATTCACTGAGCTGTACATTTAAGATGGGTATTTTTTTATTGTTTGTAAAATGTACTTCAAAAAATTGGTTTTAAAAGAAAAAAATCTCAAGAGAAGCATTACTGTATAGCAATAAAGAATTGTAAGGAACCTAGACGTCAAAGAAAGTGGAAAATAGGTCATCATATACTAACTTTCTGTGTTCTATCTAAAACCTATATAGCAGCACAAATAAATGAACTAGATTGAGCATACACATCAGTATAGACAAAGCTCACGAACGTAAGATTGAGTGAAAAAAGCAGGTTCCAGGAAAATGTATGCATTATGATGCTATTTATTTAAAATTTAATCACATGCGAAGCAACTCCATACATTGCTCAAAGATCTATACATATGTGGTAAACGCATCCATAAGAGCATGGAAATGATAAACACCAAATTCAGGAGAGCCGTTAAGGGGCCGGGCAGGGAGGAGTCTACATGGGGCTTCAAAAAGGATGGACCAATATTTTTACTTCTTAAACCGAGTGGAGGGTACATGGGTGGTCTTTGTATTATCCTTTAAGTCGTTTTATGAGTCTTAAAGATTTCGCAGTAAAACCAGCAGCAAACTAACAAAAAACTAAACCGAAAGGGTGGCCACCTACAGTGGGGGAAGGGAAGAGCCTGGCTGGTTATCAGGAGATTTGAGTCTCCGCTCCGATTTGTCCCTGCATTTGATGTTCCACCTTGGCAAAGTCACTTCTCTCAGGATGAGACGCAAGAGCCTCATTCTGGAAGAGAAGGGAAAAAATCCGAGGGAGTCCTCGGGGCAGGAGACACAGGAGGGCACAGCCGGGGCAGCAGGGCAGGGGGAGAGTTCCAGGACTCCCCTGCGGAGGACACGGCCGAGCCCAGCGGGCCGAACCCAGTTCTAAGCCTCGGTTGGCTGTGGTCACCGAGCTGCCTGACCCGCCACAGCGAGGGGGTGTTTCTTTCCGGACCCTCTTTGGGAGGACAGGCTCCTGCAGCAAGGATGTGGAGGTCTAGAGACCACTGTTTTGAGAGCGGCGCAGAACTGGCTTCCAGTTACGACTTTCAGACTACCAGGCTTTGCACTCTTCCATCTCGAGTAATTTTAACTACTGCCCAAATGCAAAGAGAGAAAGTGACTGGCCTAAGGTCACAGTGCAGATGACTGGAACTTATAACTTGTATATCCTTGGGCCAGTTACTTAACTTCTCTGAGTCGGGTTTTCCTTTCTGAAAAGTGGGTGCAAAATTGTGTGTTTATGTGTGCATCTGGAAGACTCCATACCAAAGTATTAATAGATATTTCTGGGTGGAGAGATTATGGGTGATTTTGATTTTTTTCTTTTGGTTTATCTGTATTTTCTAATTTGTTGTTTTATAGTGAATATGTATTTTTAGTTATTTAAAATTTTTTAATGGAGTTATACACACAGGATTCTTGTGAGGATTAAAGGAAATAATGAAATGCACAGCACAATTTCTACTTCACAGTGTATTCTCCATAAATATGAGTTCTCCCTGCTCACCCTTGTCCTATACTTTCCTTTCTTTCTGGTGTTAGAACCTGTGCCCCAGACCTCAGTTGGAAAGGAAGAAGGAGGTGGTACAGGACTCTGACCAGCTGTGTCGCTTTGGGTAAATCACTTAACTCCCCCCACCCCCAAGCTTGGTACCTTATCAGCAAAATGGGAAGACTAACACCTACCTCAAAGGAAGTTTTCAAGGATTGTATAACATAGAAGATGGGAAGCTGCCTGGCACATAGTAGGTCTGCAATAGGTGTCTGCAAGAAGAAACATGATGCACGTGATGAAGGAACAAGCATTGGAGTAGGAGCTAAACCAGAAGAGGTAGAAGATTTTAGCACAGATTCCACAGAGCCCAAGGAGTCCATGGATAGAGTTCGGGATTGGGGTCAGGGGAGGTCCATGAACCTGGATGGAAAAAATTACATCCTTGATTTCACTAACCTTTAACTAAAATTTAGCATTTCCTTCTATCATGCATGTAAGCAACACATCACAGTAGCATTAGCAGTACCTGTAACTTTTTCACCAATAGAAATCATAGATATTTTCGTATTGCATTACAACAGCAATACTGTTTACATGCATTCCCCACCTTGAAATTACAACAGGTGTAATTTCAATAGGTGACAGACCAATTTCTAGATCTTGTTATTTAATATATTTAAAATGAACTAAATCACAAAATAAATATTTTGATAATGACTCTGTATAACAGGTATCCTCTGTAGTCTTAAGTAATTTACTTTCTGTAGTTAAAAGTATTCTTCTGAATAGGGGTTCATTGTCTTCATCAGATTGCCAAAGGGGACCATTGGCTAGACAGACGTGGGTACCAGTCCTGCCTGGGCCATTGACTACTTACTGTGTGACATTGGGCTTGTTATTTCTCTTGGGGCATAATCATCCTTGCTTGGATCACCCCACAAGGTTGTTGGAACAAATTAATTCTTGGCTGAAAAAGGACTTTGGAAACTGTTGGCAGCTTTCCAATTTTGCCAAAAGCCAGAAAAGAATGCTTTCTACCTCCCAGCTGAACTCCACTTCTCCAGGAGCCCTCTCTCCTTTCCATAGAGTTTCATCCCTCCCCTTTATTCTCCATCTGATAAATAAAGAGACCAAAGTGCACCTCCATTAGAGTATGCCATCCAGCTCCCAGGGTGCAGAGATCTCCACCTCAGGGGAGAGATTTTCTGGGGGATAATAACAATTTCCTCCAGTTTTCACATTTGACTTTATTATAGTAACCCTTTGAAGACACTAACCCCTCAAAACTCTTCCCTGCTCCTTCAGATGGTGACCACAGTCACTGCATTTCCCCTTTCATTGCCCTTGTGATGTCTGCCTGACTCACTCACCAAATTGTGTTTTTCAAGGGCAGACCCAGACCTGACCCATCTCAGGGGCTACAGTACCCAGGCCAAAGGCATGGCACACATTAGCATCTTAGGAGCTGACCTAGATAAAGAAAAGGAACCTGAAGCACAGAAAGAAAAAGCAGGTAAGGGGTAGAGCTAAGGTTTGAGCCCAGATCCCCTGATGCCCATGATTTATTTCCCCACACATCCAAAGCAAGGGATAGAGGAATTGGGGAATCCCAAAGAATCACTTACTTCCTACTCTCCTCACTGCTGTGAAAAATGAGGAGAGCTAAAGAGTTAGCCCCTGCCCATCCGTACAATGGCAGGTGTCATATTCAGTGGCTTTCAAACCTTTTGACCTGACTCAAAGTAAGAAATGCATCCCTGTCCATTGTTTCTGTTTCTGTGCATCTAGGTTAACATATGTTTGCAATGCCTCTTTTTCAGACCCCTTGGAAGCGTAACCACCCTCGAGAGAGCACATAATCTTGTTAATTATCCTATAATCCAATTTCTGCCTTGCTTTCTCCCACCTTCATGTAATCTTCCTTACATTCCTTCCTTAATTCCAAAAATATAAAAGAAACTGCAAAACTGTCATTCTCTGGAACAAGATTTGAGAGATCTTGCTTCCCAGCAATGTCATCAGTTTGGCTCAAATAAAGTCATAAAAATTCAAAAAAAGAAAAAGAAATGCATTTGACACTGTGATCTTGTCCATAATACATACATATGTAACTGAAACAAACATTTTATAAAAGAATACTTAGCTTTACTATCTGCAGTGCACTTTTTCTATTCCATTCAATTATTTCTATTTTTTTAATGCTAGCTGTGACTCAATAACTGATTACATGGCCCATGGGTCCTTTTCAGCCCCAATATCCTGTGATTCGCTGACTAGGAATTATTCACATAATAAATGGAACAACTAACGTTCAGGAGTCCCTAGTCCTGGCTCAGTGTGATTCAGCCAAGCTGTGCACCTCTCAGAGCCTCAGTTTCCCTAATGTACCCTGAGAGGACAGACAGGCAATCTCTAAGGGCTTCATATAGCTTCTTCAGACTGTGGTCCTCTGATACTAGTGAGAACATTGCCCCTGTGATCTGGAATTAATTTCTGAGAATGAAGAGGTGTGCTGGCTTTGTTTCTTGGTGGGTGGGGTTACCATCTGGGACATCCACTAGACCCCTTGTCTTAAGCTAGTGTGAACAAGGTGTGAACAGGGGAATGTGAACATCAGTGCATGAGCTAGCTGTGCAAGGGAGGAAGAGACAGGCAAAGATGCCAGAGGATAAGTACATTTAAAAGTCCCTTGGAAGAGAGGTGCCGTGAGGCCCCAAGAGCAAGGCCTTGGGAACCAGACAGATCCAGGTTAAAGTCTCATGGGCCTGAGAGCAGGGGAAAAGGACTTCTCCCTGACCCTTAGCTCTCATTTATGAAATGGGTTTGAAAATCCCTGGTCCTCTGGGTTCTTGTGAAGGTTAGGTGAGGTAGTGTGTTAATCACTCTACGGTGTGGTCTCTGGCTGGTTGCTTGTCTGCGTCTTGCACTAGCCTCGAACTGCCCTGAGATTCCCAGCGTCCAGCACAGTGCCTAGCACCGTGCGGATACTCAGAGCAGATGTGGAATTCACGCCGACAGCTTCGATTCCCGCCCTCCCATCCTGGACCTGTCGTGTTGTCGCTCTGAGACCCAGCACCCTCGTGCATAAACTGAGAACGTAGTGGGGCGGGTGAGGTAAGCGAGGGAAGGGACCGGCGCCCAGGCATCTATCTACCCGGGGCAGCTCCCTCCTCTCGGCTCCGCGGGTCGCCCCCCGCCCGGCGCCCGCGCTCTGGCGCCCGCGTCCGCCCCCTTCCCGCCGCTCTCCACTCCCACGGCTCCTCGGCCCGCCTCCGTCTCCTCTCCTTTCTCCACCTCCCCTCCGGCCGCGCCCGGTCCGCGTACCTGGTCGCCTGTCTGGGTCCTCGGGGACTCTAGGTCTCTAACCGCTGTGTCTCCGCGCCTCTTGCTTTGTCTTTCTCTGGTTTTCTGTGTGTCTCTGTCTCTGTTTATCTCTGCCCCTCTATCTCTCTGTCTCTCTTTCTGGGGCTGAGTTCTGTCTCCGTTGTCCCCCGCCCGCTTGGCCGTCCTTGCCCTCCTCTCGCCGGCCGTCTGGTGACCCGAGGTGGCTGCGGGCCCCGCGCGGGGCGCGATGAGCGGCGCCTGCACGAGCTACGTGAGCGCCGAGCAGGAGGTGGTGCGTGGCTTCAGCTGCCCGCGGCCGGGGGGCGAGGCAGCTGCCGTCTTCTGCTGCGGCTTCCGCGACCACAAGTACTGCTGCGACGACCCGCACAGCTTCTTCCCCTACGAGCACAGCTACATGTGGTGGCTCAGGTACTGGCCCTGGCCCTAACCCCACCTAGAACCCCACTCCGGTCTTAGCTCCCTCGCCCCACCGTCAGCCCAGCCCTGTTCTAAACCCTCAGTCCTCATTCAAGTGCCCACCCCAGCATCTGCACCAACTCACACCTTGCCTTTAGCCCTTCAGGCCTAATACTGACCTTTGCTCTCACTCCATCACTGGCCCACTCCCCATGCAGCCGCTTCTCAGCTCCATTCCTCAATCCTGACCCAAACTAGTATTCAGATCCAATCTTGAACCCCCAACTCCACCCTGAAAAATCTTCACTCCAAGCGTCATCCTCCACCAACCTCAACCCAAACCCAAATTACATACCAGCCCACTCCCTAACAGCACACTCCCATCTTCCAATGTTCACATGAAGCCCAAATTCTGCCTTCATCCAAGTGCCCACCACAGTCCCCTTCCTACTATCAACGCCAACCTCATCCCTGACTTTACCTGCTCCCCAATACTGATCCCAGCCCTTATTCTATCACCAGCCCCAACCTCCCCTTCAATCCTCCCTGCAACCCCACCTCCTCTCTCCTTCTCCACCTTGGCTCCAAACATTATCTAGACCTACATCCAAACCTCAGCCTCAAGCCTTAAGCCTCACCTGATGCTACACCCCAATTCAGTGCCAGCCTCAGCCCAGCCTCAACTCTTTCCTTCCCCCTCATATTTAGTTATTCTTTCAGCCACCTCTTACCGAGCAATTAGCTGTGCCAGGCCCTGTAGTGAGTGCTGGGGATGTACTCCACTCCCAAGCTAAGGCAGAAGACCAAGGGATCAGAACTGCCTCCAAGTTCATCATAAGACCATGGCATAATGCAACAAAAGAAACCAGCTCAGGCTATTGTCATGTCCAGCGTGGCAAGGGCAAACGGGTTTCTCTTGAGGGGTGGCGTAGATTGAATAAAGAGTCAGAGACAGAAGTAAAGTTTAAGAGCGAGACCAAGGGACTCAGTCAGAGAAACTGAGCCACCGAATCGGGTCTGCGCATCGCTTTAATTGAGAATTTTCAAAGAAGTAAGACTGCTGTCAATCAAATTAGCATCAGTTTGAGGCCTGTGCTTCAAAGCCTTTTTCCTTTAACATATCCCATTATGTTCCAGCAAATGCTATGCCTTCGCATATCCGCCGCCTAGCCCCTAGGACACCTGATTACTGTGTCCTCCCAAGAGGAGATTAACTGTTTGCATTTCAACAGGTCCCAGTCACACCTTGAGACACTCCTCAGAGGGAGCCTTATCGGCCTCGGTCATACCGGGGCACCCCCTCAGAGAGAATTCAGCTTTCCGGTCATACCGGGGCTTTTCTCTTATCTAATGGGAAAAGAGGCTAAATGCAGGGGGGGCACGTTAATAGAAATCGGCTTCAGGCAACAGGCTATATTATTAATAATAGCCGTGTAATTTGGGTGAATTTCCATCCACAGGGCCTCAGATTCCCTACTTGTTCAGGGAAGGGGATAGTTAGGCCAGTGCTGACATTCCTGGAACCTAAATGTGGGACTAAGAGGACAGTAGGTCTCAGTCTCTCTCTGTCTCTGAAAGCCTTGCCCAGAAAGTAGGTGCTGACCCTGAGCCTGCTCTTGGAAACAGGCATCAGCAAATATGGAGTGGGCCATCTCAATAGACAGCGATTTTCCTGTATGTGACCAGAGGCTGCATGCCCTCTTTGTGGGAAAGGACAGTCTGCCACTAAAACCTCTGTGAGCTTTTGTCTTTTCATCTATCAAATAGGAAGGATGATAAATCATTGCACTGATTTCTAACTAGGGCAAGGACCAAATGAGATAAAGGTGAAATTAGCTTGTTATATGCCACTGACAATTATAGATATTATTGCTTTTTCTAAACAACTCAATTCATAATTCTAAAGGATTTTCAGATAACCAGGTTTTCAGATCCTGCACATTCAGCTATTACATTAATTTACATTAACTTACTCTGTTCATCCATATATTATAGCCTTTGCTTTGTGCCTGGTGCTATGCTATCCACTGGGGATGTAGAAATTAATTATTCCCTGCTGCTGAGGAGCTCACAGTCCATTCAGAGAGATATGACATGCACCTAAAACATAACAATGGAGTATTTGTTGAAGACCCTCTGTGTACTTAGCACTGAGCTGGGTGTTGAAATATGATAGCACTGACCTCCCTTTGAGGTATAGAGACAGTGTGGAGCTGGTTCGAACCGGTCCAAACCTTGGCTCTGTCACTTAATAGCTTTCTGAATTCAGGCAAATTATCTCCGAGTCTCTTTTCTTCTTTAAATTGGCAATAATAATAATACCTGTCGTATTGAATTGTTGTGAGGATTAAGTGAAATATGCATGTGAAAGTGACTAGAACATATTGTAAATGCTTGATAAAAGGGAGTTTTCCCTTTCCCTGGGTCATAAGTGGGGAAAGTGAAGCTCACAGTATAAAAGTGAATTGTTCAAGATCTTCTAGCAATTTCCTAGCAGACTGAGATTTAAAGAACCTACTTAGGACCATCCAAGGGCTAGATGCAGTCACACATTTGCAACCCGGGCATGTCTTCTCTCCATTTTACAGATGAAAAAACTTGAAAGCCATTAAAATACTATTAGGGAGTGCCCCAAGCCTGTCTGGCCCCAAACCCAGGCTTTTCCTGCTGCACAACTGTCTAAATCTAACCTGGTTCCCTTATAACCTGCTTTATTGCAATCATTTGAAACAACACAACTGACCCTCTATTGTTTTCTGGGCACTGTGCTAGCCCTTGGGGACACAGAAATGGCACCCTTTAGCACCCAGCCAGGACCCCATCCCTATACTACCACCTTCTTCTCTATACACGCCTTGTGGCCCCTCCAGTTGCGTTGGACCCTCTCAATGCATGGAGTGCTTTAGTGACTTAAACAATGAGGTAGTGGGTTGGATGAGGTGAGCTCTGAGGTTGCATCACATGTCAGTGTACTCCCATCCTATGACCCCAAGGTCAGCTGAAAGGTTCTAGCCTGCAGAGTTGACTCTTCCTCAGTTTGGACATAATGTGGTTCATAAACATCACAGACAATTGCAAAGTAGAGAAGGGGAACTGAAGGTCCTCAGGATACTTAGGCGATCAGTGTACTCCAAACCCTAAAATAACCCTTCTGGCATGCTCCTATCAGAGTTCCACCATTGCAGGGTGGAAGCTTTGTTTTGTTCAGGACTCCATTTATCGCTTCTCATGAAAGCTGGCCCTTAAAAACATATAAATCTCCAGGTAAACAGTGTTTCCTTCGATAGTGCTCAAGGAGAATTGCTGTCTTTAAAAGCGTGTCTCAAGAGCTGAAGACTCCCTGAGGGCCGGCCGAGTGGCTCAGTTGGTTAAGAGCTCGCTCAAGAGTTTGAGCTCTGAGCAACAGCAGTTCGAGTCCAGCCCGAGCTGAGCAGCCGCTG